CTGCTTATATGGACGCCGACCAAAACCGGGGTGGGCTTGCCGAGGTTTGAGGTTCCTTGACAATTCTAAATCCACAATAAGGATTTTCTTTGTTTTCGGACAGGAAAATTTATTACTTTCCATTTTTGGAAATCCATTACTTTCTACTTTAAGGGAATCGTCCTCCCAAATTCTTCCTTTCTCATATTGGTATCTCACCCAATCCCCTCAGAGGGCGTCAACAGGTTTCCCCTCTCTCTCACAGTGGCATCTCACACCAATCCCTTTAGGGGTCGTCAACAGGCCTCCCCTTCTCCTTCATAGTTTACCTTCGCCTACCGCTCACGCCACCCTTCAGCCAATGAACGCTCAGCAGCGTGGGTGTTTGCAATTATCGCTCAAAGGAAAAAAAAATTATTTTTTTTTTTCTTTCTTTCTTTCTCTTCCCCGAGCAGACCTCCCACGATTCGTAGAGTGGTCCCTAATCTCTACCTTAACCGAATGTCGTCTGGACTTTATCAACGAGATTTTCGCCAGCGTCAAGTGGGTGGTTAACTGGACGTATTGGCCCTCTGTATCCAATTATCCATTCCGATAACAAACTTTTATCATGTCCAGGTTTGGACAATAAAACAGGTGGTCTCTTTCCAAAAACAAATGATATCTCCTTGGGGGTGGTCCTCACCTGATGTTTTTCTCGGTCAATTTCTTATCGCCTTAATTATTTCAGCTTCTTCTCGCCTTCTTATCGCCTTAATTATTTCAGCTTCTTCTCGCTTTAATTATTTCTCGCTTTTTATTTTCACGCGACCGCTAAATAGTGTCACACCTGTTTTTTTTTGTTTTTTTTTTATAAAAGAAAACATTGTTGAAAAAAATGGAAAACTTTTTTATACTTTCAGGCACGTAATTTTGATATTATTTTTCGTTTTTCATTTTAACTGCTCTATTTGGAATCGCGCATTCATTTTAAACTCTGCACATTGCGCATTAATCTAGACAAGTGAAGCTTCGGCGCATTTCTAACCGAAGCAAAACGATGCAAACAAAGCCAGTAATGGCAGCCGTTCCGTCGACTTGACGCGAAAGTAGTCGAACTTACGTTGTTCATAACTCGTAAAGGTAATAGAACGCAAATTTTTATTGTCATTTTCTAAATAATCAGACAATTTCACACCATAATGGAACATTTTCATTACCGTGGGCTTTTGTTGCTTATACTGCATATTAACCAATTTTATTTATTTGTTTATACATTAATGTAAGTATGAAACTTTTAATAGAAAATATTTGATTTTTGGTCATTAATTTTCCGCGCATTCTATTCTATGCAAGATCCAAATCTTCTATTTTATTATTTATTATTAATAGTAAGTAAACATACATTAAAAATGATTTTAGTTAATTATTAATAACCAACAATGTCACAGGAGACAGAGCGAAAAATTCAAGAATTTCAAAACAAGATTAATTTTAATTAAATATTGAAATGAAATATCTTTTAAAAATTAATCTTTCAGTTTATTTTTTTTGAGAGCACAATAATATAAGTTTCTCTTTTTGTTGCCATATTTCATAAAAAAAAACAAACTTTCTCAACAGATTTTGCAAAAAAAATATTAAACAAGAAATATTTACGCAAAATTTTATCTAACTACTACTGAGTTAAAATTGTTTTTCATTTATTTTATCAACGGTCAATTATTAATTTTTTTTTAATCAGTATGTTCAACTTTCTGCAGTTTTCGTGTTAAAACAATAAAATACTGCTAAGAAATGTTTCACAAACGAAGCCCTTTATCAACCGTATATATAATCTATAAATAAATAAAATTTGTCGAATTTGTATAATATGTTAATATCTTTTATTTAAACATTCCCTCTGACTGATTGTAATTAATCTCTGTGAACAATGGATCTGTCCAAAGAAATTAGACTAAGTATTAGTCAGTTATGTGTATGTTAGGCGATCATGTATTTTTAGATACATGATTGACGAGACAGATTTTTCCCGCAGTAGGTTACAGTAGGTTGCTATTTCATTGTGCGGTAGATCAGCTGCCATCCAAGGTAATAGAACCCGGTCTGTCCTGCTATTTACCCATAGTTAGGGGGGAAAAGAAGAGGATTCATACATTTCCCAAGGGTATTAGCACCTAAGTAAATGTAATGAATTTGACTAGAATTCGAACTCGGCTCTCCGATTCCTCAATCCGTGCCGCTATCCATTACTCCACTGTTGCGATTTTGTTGTTAGCAGACGCCAGTGACAATCCTCCCCCCGGGATATACCAGACATCTGCACGCCACTGAAAAGTGCTTTGGTATTTAAAGATTTACCCCACCTTACAGTTAGTAAATGTAGTTTTGATTTATGGTAAAAATCTAAACTGAAGTCATTCAATCCAATTTAGATCTTCTTCTTGGGTCAGGCTTCTTGGCAGATCCCAAGTACTAGCGAGGTGGAGTAAAGTTTTAGGCACGAAAACTCTTGACTTAGTATGGAGTTGTTGTGCCAATTTTTCTTTTAGCACTAAAAACGTTGCTTTAGTGGAAAGACGTGTAGCTGGCTAAAGATTTTGATGCCGCCAAAACATTAAATTTTATTTGAATTAGAAGCATTTTGAGTATTTTAAATTCGTCGGTTTCATTGTTTATTTAGGCGGCATGAGTTGGAGTAAAAGAAGAACACCGGTAAAAAAAGAAAAGGAAAAAAAAACATTGATGATTTATTCCATTTCTCACTTTTACACACACACACACACACACACACACACACACACACACACACACACACACACACACACACACACACACATATGACCTTGACCAAAATTATAATGAAGCAATGCACCACATCAATCTTAGCATCAATCAACTTACACACAGACAAATAATCACCAAAAAGCTCTTTAAATTATACCAAGGAAACATTATACTATCCAACAGCGAAACAAATATATAAACCTATCTAGTCATAAATCAACAAATGACCAAAAAGAATTCCTAAATCTAGGGTCAAATTGCCATCTCCAACGTAAATTTGACCTTATCAGAGAGAGAACTGAGATTGACATTCTACACCAGTCACTATCCCAACTCGAGGCGCGTGGAGACAGCAGTTCACACAGACCCGAGTGACCTCCTCCAAGTCGAAGTCTTGACAAAACGCTCCCCTGGCAACAACCACAATAATAATATCTTAATAACTAAAACTAAAAAAAAAAAAAAAAAAAAGCAGCAAAAGAACTAAAAAACAACCGTCACATTGACATCAGAGGAACTAACAAAGCTAATACATACGTTATTTTGGATAAAGCTGATTACCATAAAAAAAATTACAAAACATTATTGATGACCGAACTAAATTCACCAAACTGAACAGAAACACCACGGAGGCCCTAAAAAAGGTCCGTCAAGAAACTAATAACAGCTAACAATGTGGAAGTCAGTTACCTGACAATCCCAAAAATCATTGGAGACTACCAACCTGGATATTTATATGGAAATATAAAAACCCATTACTCGGATACCCGTTACGACCAAACATTTTCTAGATCCCAAACGAGCTTTCAAAAATTCCTGACGACATCATCACTCCGTAACTATCCACCAATTACTGCATTTATAGAATATTTTGACCGTTTCTACAGACTGTGTGTGTGCAAAAAAGAAAACACTTGTTTGAATACAATAAAAATTAATTAAAAACTTAATTGTATTACCTTCTCTGTCGTTTTTAATGAAAGATGCATAAATGAAGGATTGCTGCCTAAATACATACCTTTATATATATATATATATATATATATATATATATATATATATATATATATATATATATAATATATAAAAGATGGAGAGAGAGAGAGAGAAAAAAGAGAGAGAGATTGATGAACAGGACAGTTTTTTTCTTCAATTTTTTTTATTGTACTGCTTAGCTCAGGGTAGGGGTTTTCCAAATTGAATGAAAATATATTATTTCAAATCCAGGAAATTATGTGTGTATGTTTGTGTGCGTGCGTAACGTACAGTAAATGTTGCTTATGCAGAGCACAAGCATACGCATATTGATGAGATATAGCGCATACACGTAGAAAACGCGGGCAAAGAATCATCTCTTCTTTTATAATATAGATTTATTCAAATTAGCTTGGTCTGACAAAAGGCCATGAGGAGAAGTGGGGTTGGATGCTTGTTTTGCCCCCTAAAAATCAATATACAAAACTGTTCCTTTTTTTTCTGAACTCAAGCACTCATTCCTGCCCCAGAAACAGAAATAGATACTAGTTACAAATCAAACTTCATTGGTTGTCGGTTGATTCGTTTTCTACGGCTTATCAATCCTTTACAGGTTATTTAAAGCCAGAAAATATTTTGGAATAGTAAGAATTTTTTTTTTTTAGCTAATGATTTAGTGATAAAAGTATTACTAATTAATCCATAGCGGGGGGAGAAGAGACGGATTCATACCTCATCAGAATTTGATAAACGAGAAATTATAATGTACATATAAAGTAGGGAGAATTCTAAATTAAAATCACTATATAAACTGATCCCTCACTTTTTGGCCATGGTAGTTTCTAAACATTTATATTCCAGAGAATGTAAATAAAGTTTAAATCCATGTCTGTGTATCTTATCAGTATTTCATTTAATTGTTGGATTCCCTTTCTACGGCTTATCAACCATTTGCAAAGCCAGAAAATGTTTTTAGATTGTAAGAATTTTTGTGGGTTTGGGGATATAATAAAAATTTAGTGATATAAGTATTACCAATTAACCCATAGCTCGGTGGAGAAGAGGAAGATTCATACCTAATCAGAATTTGATAAACAAGCAAGATATTATAATGATTTACTGAAACAAGTCCTACTAATTAACCCATAGCTGGAGGGATTCATAACTTTCCCAGAGGCATTTACGCGTAAGAGAATATAAACAACCGAATTGGAATTGGAAACCGGTTCTTCGATTAACAATTCCGAGCCATTATCTACTACGCCACTGGTACATGCAAGCTTACAGCACTTGGTATTCCCAAGCTGTGACCCATCTAGATACTAACCATACGCGACGTTGCTTAACTTCGATGATCGTACGGGAACAGGCGTTTCAACGTGATATAGCCACATACTCAAACTTCGTATAGGCCGACATATTCTTCGATCTTCACGATATTACTTGCGGTAATTAGCTTTTGGAAAAAAAGTGAAATCACATTCCATAACTTGGAAGCTTGCTACATAATGTAGTGACAACTATTCTTTTGTTGTAGTGTAATGAAAAAAAAAGAGTTCTTTATTCGGATCTTAATTCTAGAATATTTGATACTTACTATTTTATTATTTTTTTTAAATAAAATTATGGTAATTTTTCTGGGATTACTGCGTCATGCCTGCTAGAGTACTTTTCTTGAAACACATTAGGTGACGTTGTGTAAAGCAATATAAAATAAAAAGTCTCAAATCCTCTCTTTCTATCTCTATTCTTTCTTCCTTTACCCATAGGATGCCGTAGTTTCGAGATGTGTCCCGCTTCCCTACTGAGAAATTTCTAGTCTCCGAACTACGTGATACATCGTATATAACAGAATATTGTCGCTACAGTGAATCCTGTTCTGTAAATCTCAAACAAGTAAAAGTACAACGAGTTGTCCAGAATTTAGAGAATAACTTATATCGTTGTTCTACACATTTTATTGGTATTAAATTTTTTTGTGTATTTTCTTTATTTTGATTATGACCCCATCAGCTGAATTATTCTTCAGATTGTCAAATTGCAGTAAGAACAAAGAAAGTGATTTGGGCGAAACTAGAACTCATATTATTAAATCTGGTTATAATACGTAGCAAGACACATATATTTGTCATTCGATTACTAACTGAAATAGTTTTAATTCAATTACATTTATTTTAACTTGACACTATTTCTGTTAAATTTATCGTTGTCATGATAATAACTTGAATAACGAGGAATATATCAGCCGGTGAAGTATTGTCACAACGTTATATGTGACTTGAACTGGTGTTTGATAAATACGGGTGTTGTTCTGTGGAGGGTCGTATCGCTGTATTAGATTCCGCGGTTGTCTTCCGGCCAATACACCAAAATTGCGCTGGCACTGTTTCTTACTGAAAGTCAAATCAACCGTCTTTTTACAAGGAGAAAGGTTTTCTTGTAGTAATAAAAATCACAACATATGCGGTTTGTATTGTCTACTTTTATTGTTCTCCAGTAGGGAAATTTTGTCGACTACTTGTCAGTGACGGAGAAGGTAAAGTGTGTAGGAAAACTTTTCCCTATTCAAGCCGCTTGAAGATCAAATGTTCACTACAAAGCGAAAAATTAGCAATAAAGATTTTCTGAAGAAGAAACGCTTTATTACGAAGAAATCTCGGGTTCCCGTTAGTTGCTGAATCGTCAATTCACGGGTCACTAAAAACACTCTGCTACATTTCCTTCTTTTTTTCTTGCAGGACTTATGACCGTTAACTGACCTTTTCAAATATATCGTATTTAAGAAATAAAATATATTTCCAACATGTGTACCTGCTTATTTGTCATTCTTTTTCTCTTAATCGTTAATCTAAAATTATTTTCATTTATTTTATACACGTGATATTACACCAGCATGATTTGAATCATTAAGTAGAAAGAGTATATTAAATTAACTGCTTAATCTGCAGCTTAAGAAAGTTGCTTCAATATGTCGTGCGAGACATTTTTTCTCTTCAGAATCTATCTTTATACGTCCACTATTTGACCATGCTTTGAATATTGCTATCACATCTGGTCTGGTTCTCTTGCTATATATTTAGAGATTCTTGATAAAATCCAAAGAAGAATCTGCAATGTTATGGCCCTTCCCAATGCCGTAACGTATCTTCTGTATAAATACCTTCATGGTAATTACTCTGATGAATTTCCGCTATAGTACCTAGACTTTATGAATTTAAGTGCAGTACGAGACTGGCGGCAAAGTCCCATATTTTTACAGTTGAAATGGCTAGATGTAACCGTATGTCCTTTGCTAACAGTTTCTTCTATCGCACTTCTCACTTGTGGAACACTCTTCCGGATTCTTGTTTCTCAGACAAACTTGATCTCCAAAACAGCTGATATTAAGTGAAAAATGCATACTAAATCTACTGCTAAGTCTGCAGCTAAGAAAGTTGATTCACTATGTCGTGCGAGACAATTTTTCTCAGTTAAATCTATCATAAGTATCTATAAGTCCACCATTAGTTCTTTCTTTGAATATTGCTGCCACATCTGGTCTAGTATATTTAGCTACCCCCCACGAGGGTTGCATGTGGCACAAGGCCGGTTTAACGTGGGTTCTCCAAGCCCGTAGACTCGGCCAAAAATATTCCCTTTTTGAACCCGCATAAACGGGTTCAGGGTCAGTCTACCTACCCGAACGAGACTCTGCCCTTCGGCGGAGCCTCGTCCGAGTTCCTCTCTGCCCGAAGGCAGAGAGTTCGACTGTTTAGCTGGAACAGATCCCAGTCACATCTGGTCTAGTGCTCCTGCTATATATTTAGAAATTCTTGATAAAATCCAAAGATTGGTCCTGGCCTGACATCTTGGCTTCAGTCACTTTCCCACCGCCATAATGTAGCTTCCCTGTGACTTTTCTATAAATACTTTCATGATAATTGTTCCGATGACTTTCTGCCATCGTACCTGGACTTTATGAATTTAAACGCAACGCTAAGTTGGCGGAAAGGTCTCATCATATTGCACTTGAAATACGTAGATCTAACCGTAAGTTCTATGCTAACAGTTTCTTTTATCGCACTTCTCGTTTGTGGAACTCTCTTTCGGTTTCTTTGCTTCCCAGTCAACTTTGATCTTCAAAAAGTTAAATGCAATGCCAATCATTACCATCTACTTATTTCATGTTCTTTTGTTGTCATCTCTCCTTAATAGTAGTTTTTCTCATATTCTCTAATACTCAGTAACTCCCTTGCTTCCTAGTGGCTTTATGGCCTCGCTTGGGCGTAAAATCATAAAGAAAAGATTAAATAGTTGAAAACTCCTTTTTTTTTTCTTTCATTTTAGATTATTTTGTGGACTTAAACTGAAAATATCATTAAACTGTGACTAGCAGATGCTGACACTCAGGTAAAGAGAGGCCAATTATGATGAATTAAAAAAAAATCCTTATATTTTCATTCTGAGACTTAAGAAGCTAAGGTTAATAATGATATGAATGATACAAATGTCATAATTTTGAATGTTAACATTCAATGCTTGCCAACCTTCCTTACTTGACGGGCTGGCGCTATCCAATCTTCTCACATCTCATATGCTGACATTTGGCCTTGTACCGTATTATAAGAAACTAAATATCAAGATTAAGTTAAAATCATCATTTCAAATAGTAATATTTAAGGCTAGTCATCTTCCTTCACATCGAGGACTGACGCTACACCATCTTTCTGTCCTTTATCTTTTCTCAGCTTTGTGCCGCATTAAGCTAAGTTTTTTAGTTATAAAGGTGAGGTACATATCAGGATAGTGAATGTTGGTATTCAATACCTTCCTCACTCGGAGTGCTGGTGCAATACAATATTCCAACATTTCAGTTACTGATATCTGGAATTGTGCCTTATTCTGCAAAGCTAATTATTTACAGTTAGCCTAAAGTCAAGATTTCGAATATTTAGAAAACTGACGCTATACAATCTTCCTACTGCTTATCAATTATGATTTGGCTCCATGCCGTATAGAGCTAAGCTTAATAACTATGAAGATAAGGCGCATATCAAGATAGTGAATTTAATATTCACTGCTTTCCCCACTCTAAGGTCTGACGCAATATAATCTTCCTTCATCTTATTTATTATTATTTGGTCTTGTGCCATATTATGGAAAGCTAATTTTTATGATTAGGTTAAAGTCAAGATTTCGAATATTGGAGGAATGACGCTATACAATCTTTCTATTTTAATTATCATTTGTTTTGTCCTGTATGAAGCAAAGCTTAGTAGCTATAAAGATGAGTCATATATCATTATAATGTGGGTATTTAATATGTTTATCACTCGAAGATCTGGCGCAATACAGTCTTTTTATATCTAGTATTTGGTCTTGTGTCATATTACGCAAAGCTAATTTTTACGATTAGGCTAAAGTCACGATTTCGAATACTAGGAGGACTGACGCTATATAATCTTCCTACTGAGTATCAATTATCATTTGTCTTTGTCTCGTATGAATCTAAGCTTAGTAGCTATAAAGAAGAGGCACATATCAGGATACTGAATGATGGTATTCAATGCTTTCCTCACTTGAATGTTTGGCGCAATACACTCTTTCTACATCTTATTTACTTTCAGTTGGTCTTGAATCATACTTCTACTGGTCAGCTTCATTTCATTTCTTCATGTGACGGTAGATATACTGCAACGGATATTGAAGAAACAAAAAAGAAAAAAAGAAAATCATTGTCTCCCGAACAGATTTATTTTACAGAATATCTTCTCTGTATATAATACATCAACATTTGTTTAGCTGTCTAGATTTAAGCCGTGCTGCGTTAAGCAGACAGTTCGGCCACAACTGATTTAATGGCTTTTTCCTTAAATTCGGGTTTGAGTTGCGATATCACTGTGGAACGTGGGGCAAATGTAGCGGTAAGAAAATTGCCGGTCAGTCCACCTCCGAAGTTGGGGTTGCTCTTCAGACTGTCAATAGCGTCTGTAATCAGATTACCCGTCTTGCATTGGATCCACGCATTAACTTCTATGTTATAAATGACAATGTTATTTTCCAGTTTGGTTGGGAAACGGACGACAGGCAACGAGATGACACCTCTCTCTACGATGGACAAGTCATTATGGAGACAATCATTTTTAAGAGTTTTGAGAATGGTAGAGATTGATTTGACCAGATATCCAATATCTCCTTCAGTGAGATTCATTTCAGCAAGGACTTGTTCGTCATCAATCAGTTTTCTAAACCAAGTGTTCACAGTTTTGACCTGCAGATGTAAAATGGGATCAAAATTAAACAAATATTTAACTGAGCGTTCGATTGATTACATCACAAAGAACTGTTTGAAATGCTAGATAAGGTTGATTTATTTGGGAAGGACATTAGAACAACAAAGAAAATATATGGCAACAAACTGCCTGAATATGTATTTTTTTTAAGCATTACGCCCCGAGCAAGGTATGAAGCCAATGGGTTGCAGAAGATTTGGAGCGAGAGCAGATAGGAGTGATAGAAGAAAGGATGAGGAGACGGATAGTGGGTAGATCAAGGTAACTGGAGGTGTTGATTGACGTTACATTTGAATAGTTGGAGATTATAGCTCTCAAGGAAACAGTAATTGGGACGCGTGTTCCACAGGTGAGAGGTGCGATGTATGAAGCTATTGGAGTAGAAGAGACGGCTACATTTAAAAGTTTCTACAGTGTAAGGGTGGGAGCGGGATGCCAGCCTCGTATAAAACATGAATTCAATAAATACAGAAAAATAGCAAGGGGTGTAAGAAAAAGAAATGTGTCTACCCACCGAATTTATTCAACTTTTACAGTGAGGCCAAACTGGGGGAATTAGGAGTCCTACCAGGATTAATTATTGGTGGCTTCAATCTTAACAATATAAAATACACCATGGCCAACTAGTATTATACGGCCCCACATGTCATATAAGAAGCTGAATGTAATGTAAACAAAATATTTGAATGGACACTTAGAAAATTGCTAATCCAAAAGTGAGGTAGCTTTGAATTCTTATAACGTAACGCACAATTACGTAGAATTTATCAGAGATTATTTCAATTCATAGTCATGTTTAGTACACTAAAATGCATTCTATGAAATAGCTGTGAATTACCTCGCTTTTATGATTTTTCAATTGGGTATACGGCCCGTTTTGCAAATGAATGTTATTAGGTAAATTTTCTACCTCATAGTCCATTGGATTTAAAGATTAAATTATAAAGTTTGTTGTGATATTTTGCTTAACAAAAATGGTTAACAAATGTGCTGCATTTAGCTGTTCTAGTGGATATGTTACTAACAGTGAAAAGTATCGACATTTTTTTTCCTCTTCGAAAATCCGACCCCGTAGAAAAATGGATAAAATTCGTTAATCGTGTTGGTTGGTTTCCTACGAATAATTCAGTTCTCTGTATGAAACATTTTGAAAAGAAATTTATTTTGAAAGGAAAATGAAACAAACTGAATTGAGATTTAAATACAATACATACAATACATTCAGAAAAAAATACATCCAATACATAAAATATATTCAGAAAAAAAATAATAAAACCGTCTCTTTTCCCGAATACAAAGGAATTCAGAAATTCTCCAAAATAACGCCTGGTCCCAACTAATCAATTAAATGATTTTATTTCAGCTGATGCGATAAAAGATTTTACTTAACTAGAAGAAGTGTTGTCCTAACAGTTTTGAATTTTAAAAGAGTAAAATTATATTCTAATTTATAGAATAGTTTTCGATTCTGAAACACTTTCTATCTATAAAACAATGTATTCACATTGACCAAAACCTTCACTTCCAGCTCTAGTACAGTAGTTTATACATGGACATAATGTTAGGCTCAAACGATTTAGCATACAATTTACTTAAAAGGCTGTCCTGAATTTTAAGTGAAATTCTCAGGAGATTCTAAAATGTATTTTACAACTTATAAATGCTGAATTTTTATTGGGAATGTTGACGCCGGCAATCATTCAGCCAGTGTGAATGTATTGAACGTTTTATTTGATAAATTTGATGGGATCAAAAAGTATTGCATAAATATTTCCAATTATCACTCCTCCAATATTTGTGTTTTTTGACTCCGTAAAAAAATATTCGGAATAGTTTACTGAACAGAGACAGGTTTGTATTTGCTTCTTTTACATTTGAAATATCAAATACTCATGTTTTTTTTTCTGATATAAAGACTGACATACACAAAATATATGACAATGACAAAATTCTAGATGCTAAATTATGTAAGGCCTCAAAACCAACATTCACTGCATCCTAGTGACAATAAGCAAAATGTTAATTTAGCTGTTGCTATTTTTCATGAGACAACTATTGCAGATTTTGAGATCTACTTTCCTGATCAACATTCCTTAAATTGATATTAAGGATATAATTGATATTATTATTGGTGGATAATAACAAATTCAAGAAAAAAAACCCTAATATTTTGAACAATGCAGTAAATTTAAATGATAGGAATAGTGATTCTACAAGAAATTATAAGATTGGGGCGAGTCTTAGGCAAATATTTTCGATTTTGGTCTAACAAATTTCCAAAGCTTTTGTTGTAAATTTGAGAGCGCAGCTTATATGCTTATGCGGGCACTTTAGAGGAAGGGTATGAATATATTTTCATTCCTAAATTGCAAAGTGATCCACATGAAAATAGATTTCTTTCAGTATCAACAGGTGAATGGTGGTTGGTTTTTGGTGATCCTTCGTGAAGTATTGTTCACCACTGCAGTCGTCAGGTATTGAACTCACAACTCTTTGGGCCAAGTCATGGGATTCAATCAACGCTTTTATCCACTGGACCATGTATCCTAGAAGAGTTGAGTTACAGGGAGATAACTGAGACATCCAGAAGAGGTACGGTACATGAAATTGGAACAATTTACCCTGGTGGACGAAATAAAACGTTCAGTTCGAAAATCCAATCATCTGAACGTACAACGGCCGAAACGTGAATATGGCAATAAAGATGAGGAAAAAAGCCGAACAATGTAAATAATTAATAATAATGTAAATCCCCATTCACATAAATACAGTAGTAAATACTGTATGTTGGTCTGCAATTGGAGATTAATTGTGGAATTCACTTGACTCAATTCTAGCAGTTGACTACTTCTACGCGCCGCTGGCGAAACTTATATGCTTTGTTCTTGTCTTAAGTATTATCGTTCATTATCAAACTTCGTGTAATTATTCTGTTCAATAACCTTCCCTAGGTTACAACAATAATGTAGATGGTGTCTTAGTTTTCGATTTTTAAGTAACGTAGTAATTATTTTTCGTGTCTGCATTTCTGATTGTTTATTTCGTAATTTGTGTTGGCTTGGAAAAGTGATTAGTCATTTTCTTTTTCAAACAGTTGTTTTTTTTATTTTTGTAAGCCTATGCTGTTTTTCGTATTTTCCATGATAATTTTAATGCATTTTGCTTTTAATTGCCCATAGAAAGGGTTGTACTATTAGTAAAGGAGCTTTCCAGGGTCTTTCGTTTACTCCTATGTATATTTTTCGTAGTTATCTGCTGATTTTACAGTGGCTTGGTATATTATAATGTTTTGCAAGCAATTGTCATTTAAGGGGCATTCTTGCTTCGCGCTACAGTTAAAGGTGGGTTTGATTTGTTCCAGTGAGTTGTTGGTTATTTTTATCTCATGGTTTTGTTATCATTGTATCATGTTTTCGGTGCAACTGTTGATAATTTTTACGGTTTCTGTTGAATATATTGTGGTGAGTACTTGATGGGAGAAGTTTTTGTGCACGAATGAATATTTTCATACGTTTGTTTGATTTTGATTCACGTTTCTTTTGTACTGTGTGGTGCGTATGTGACTGTTACCGACAATTCACAATCATTTAAGGCTGTTTCAAAATCTATTTTAGCTTTGTTGGAGATGGTTTCACGAGAATTGTCAGATAACTTGTGGTTAATTGATTATTGTTGATGGAAGATGTGTGTATGTAAATTGGTTTGTTGGTGGGTTTTCTATGTTTGATATGTGCCTTTTCTTAGGTAGAGAATAATGTCTTGGAAATCTACTTGTTTTAGGTTTGTTTTTAATGTCTACGTCAAATCTTATATTTTCTAAATGTTAGTGATTATTTTTATGTTTTTTTTTTCTGTTAAAGTTTGTTTTTAGGATTATGAGACCGTCTTCGTTGTAGGGACCTATATCAATTACATACGCTTAATCACTGATAATGAGCACTTTTACTCATAAATATAGCATTTAAAAACTATATTTTTATCAATATATATATATATATATATATATATATATATATATATATATGTATGTATGTATGTATGTGTGTGTATATGTGTGGTGATGTAATCAGAAAGAACCGTTAGACTGATGATCCAAAGTTCTTTAATATTTTTGTTTTATTAAAAAAAAAACAGTGCTCACTACAGAAGTAGAGCTTAAAATTATTCCAAATATCGCTTGAGATTGAAACTGTCCTCTAAAGTTAAGGTTTAATATTGTAATTAAACTTTAGAACTTGAGTTTCAGTTTCGAAACATAGTAATTTCTGTGTCGCGACCGCATCATATTTTTAAAAAATAATTATATATATATTCATTAAAAATGTCTGATTAAACAATTTAGACATGTGTTTGTTTATCTTCAACAATATCCTTTTGCAATCACGTATAAGCTTTGTTGTTTCATTATTAAACAGAGCCAGGAAGATACCCTGGTTCTATTTAGTCATTTTTATTTTTCCAAGTTCTTTCGATATATTTCAATATCATCTTCAAGGTTGTGATGGCTAAGACAAATAATTATGTTTGTCCGGACAAACACAATATCATCCTTTTGTTCACACAGTCGAAGAAAAAAGCAGTACACTCCAGAATTTTCACTCAATATGACCCTAAATAAATATAAAGTAAATATGACCCTATCATTGAGGTGGTGGAACTCCTTGAGTCCAACCCTATGCATGCCAAAATACGTCACAATGATGGCCGGGAAGATTCGGTGGCGCAGAGACGGTTGGCACGTTTTCCACGCCCGGATGGACCTCAAAATGAACCTGAAAATACTCAACTCGACGTGGACCATGCAGATTCAACCCTTTTGCCTGATGCAGGTCCCGTTAATATTTCTTCACCTTATACAGAAAATGATTCTGTGAATAATAGCCAGAATCCTGAAAGTCAGCCTTCTCAGAGGTCTGGCCCTTCCAGTGGTGAACTTGTCGGAGTTAACTCCTCCTTCAGTCCATTAACCCTTTTACCAGGGGTCTTCTTCCCTGGCTATAAATAGCCGCTGACCCTTCGCCTCTATCTCTTTTTCCTTCAGGATTTCCGCTATCAACCTCGAAATGTAGGCGCTAACAAGGGATAGCGTGGAAACACGCTAAGAACAATACACACATACGCAGGCACATACAGAATATTCACACACACACGCACATACAGAATATTCACACACACTTCGTCCTTTGAACTGTTTCCATGTATTGTAACTTGTTATTAATATATATTTGTATATACATATATTATCGGTCTTGTGTTTTGTTTGCTTTTTCTTTACCTTCTTTGGACTTAATCAAAGTCCAACCTTTTTATGTAGTTGGGCCCGGCGGGCAGGAGTATCTGAACCTTACATGCGTTTCCTTCTACGTCTGACTTCTATCAACAACATAACATCCACGGCCCCTCTACAAGTGGTGACTTTCCCGACGTGATTTTTCAACTCCTGCTAAAAACACACAAGACGATATATATGTACAAAAACAAACAATTTTCATATACACACACCTTCCCAAAAAGAGAGCCAAATAGGGAAAATGTTGAAAAAACTTCTTTTCGAATCCTACGCACGCCGTACACTAGAACAACAATTACTACTATTCAAGACGAACCTGAGAACGCTTCCCCCACTGGTCTATATTTGCTTGACCCTTTCTTTCTCTCGGCGACGTTTGACCTAATTTCGCCCATCAGACATGCTTAAGGCTGTACCGAACGGAAAACACAACGCCATTTTCTACTAGCCACTGTTTTCTTCTGGACTGAAATAGAAAAATTGTAAACCAAACCACTGAAGACGACTCACTGTCTCCTTTTTTAAACAACATTCGTGATTCCGACATAGAAGCAACACTCAACTGACACCACGTGGCGATAACTTCACGCCACTGCTTGCTTCTCATTCTTCTCCAACACGCATGGACATTCTATTCAACATGACTTCAACTGACTACACATCCACTCACATTGTGCTACACACTGCACAATATTTCACATGTCCAATGCAGTCTTAAAAGGCAATTCACCGTCATTCATCTCATTCTGCAATTACGCGACTCAAACAAACCGAGATTTTGCCAGAACGATATTCTATCGTCAATAATACCAAATTCTCCCAACCTACATTCGACACTCGATAGAAATTCAGCTCAACTTCACGAGTACGCTGCGTCTATTAACTTTTGTGGGCCAATTATACCCACACGAACCACCTCGTTTTTCAAACCAACTACAAACAGGCCAGCAGACAGGTGCATAGATCGACACAACCAATTCAACGTGGAGCATTAAAAAAAAAGACAAATTTTAATAGCAACGCAGACCATTACCGACGCATTTACAGGACGTGCCCCAATTCTAACTCACTAGAGAAAATAACACTGCACCCTGAGACAACACTACATTTCTTGTCCAACCTTTTTATGTAGTTGGGCCCGGCGGGCAGGAGTATCTGAACCTTACATGCGTTTCTTCTACGTCTGACTTCTATCAACAACATAACAGCCACGGCCCCTCTACAAACTGCCTCCACGCCAGTCTAGCAGGATTCGTAGACCAATCCATGGATTTATAAAACTTTTTCAATTACAATCTCTTTTGCAAGTGGGGGAGAATGTTATATTTTCGTAAAGAATAAAAAAAGAAAACTAGCTTTACTGTCCACGTGACTTTTCACACGTTCCCATTCCTCTTTAAAAGCTGCATTCTTCTTCCTTTGTTGATTACTGACTGCTGTGAATTAAGTTCAGTAAAGCTTTAGGAAAAGGTTATTCTATCCTAGCTTTCTTCTCTGAACAACGTAACAAGCACCCACTCCTGCCTAAAGAAACAAATTGAAAACTGGAGCCGATTTCAGCCTCAAAAGGACATAAAAGCCCATCAAACGGACATTCGGCAATTTGGACGGCATGTTGAAACGAGTTCATACGCTAGTCAAAAAGAGACCTCCTATCTCCAACGACATCTGTATCAACCAGCTTGCCGACGCCGTATCCCCAGCAAGACAGAACTTATCCCCCCACTACCCTTCCGTACACTTCACTGTAGGCCTTTACAGCTCGATTTACGTATTTTTTCTTCATGCGAGAGACATCTAGTCATTTATTGTATTTTATGTTCATACAATTGTTTATTACTTTAAATTTTCGTTGTTCCTTCTTCGTTCTGCCAGCAAACGCTTAGTAACACGAAGACAAACGTTCATATCGTAACACACAAACACACACACATACATGTCTAGATAGAAGAGTGAGATCAGTGCACTTTCTATCTCCGAAGGTGTCGTCAAAATAATGCATGTAATCCTTATTGTTATGCTATTAAAATTAATTTCGTCTGACACAGAGTTAAATTTGTTTCGCCGATGTTTGAAATGGTCTTTTAGTTAATCCCAAACCTCAGCCACTCAAGCTAGTGCGAAATGCACTACTTTTTCGACAACAAGTATACGCACTCACACTGCTTCTATTTCTTTTTATTTATCTTACTATCTCCGCCTGTCTATCTATACGACGAGCTTAACAATTATATATATATATATATATATATATATATATATATATATATATATATATGGAAAAATATACAGAAAAAACAAACAAAAATCCTAATATGCGACAATGCTGTTTTAATGTTTAATGTCAACGTCAGACGTTTCGGTCAACTAGACCATCTTCAGGACATATTCATAAAACATAATTAACATAGACGATATACAATTCAACATGAAAAGACATAAAAGCAATACCAATCCAAACAGATAACTGAAATCTTTTATAAGATCAGCGTTCCGTTTAAATATGATCACGTCGTCGTCACGTGGGCGATGTTGTAAAAACGTATTCCTAAAATTTGAGTATTTTGAATGAAAAACGAAAAGAATTTTATTTTGATCTAAAACTTATATGTACGTTTGTCGAGCATTGATCTTGCTAGAAAAGATGGTCTATTAGACCGAAACGTCCGACGTTGACATTAAACACTAAAACAGCATAATCGCATATTGGGATTTTTGTTTGTTTTTTCAGTATATTTTTCTTCATACTGTTGGATCTATATCCATATATTTGCTTACATATATATATGTATATATATATATATATATTTCTGTATTTAGGCAGCAATCCTTCTTTCAAGCACATTTCATTGAAAACGACAGACAAGGTTTTTTTATTTAGTTTTTTATACAATTTCTCATGCGATCTAAAAGTTTTTTCTTTTCGGATGATAAAGAATATTCGGATAGTTTTTATATAATTTATCATCCGAAAAGAAAGAAATATTAGATCGCATGAGAAATTGTTTAAAAAACTAAATAAACTGTCGTTTTCAATTAAATGTATATATATATATATATATATATATATACGATGAAAGCGGATATTTTAGAAATTCATGGTAATATTTTATTTCGCGTGATCAAATATGTGCGTCTCCGTATGCGGAGATAGATAGATATACGGAGTGCGCCAAAGAAATATATACCCACATCAGGAAAAAAAATCTTGTCTTTCGTATTTTTTCAAAATCGTGAGAACACTGTTTACTCTAAGATGATGTTTTCTCGACATTTGGCATTACATTTTCGGCACTTACATAAAAAATTATAAAATGTGTGTGCAGAAATCCCACTGGACACTTTGGCCAACGTTGCCGCAACAGTAGTTTTCCGTACCAATAAATGTCTGGAACCTAAAGGTCACAATTTTAAGCATCTCCTGTGATTCTAGAACCCCAAGCTAAAGTGTATTAAATATAAATTTAATATTACAATATCTATACAAGTTTACCTTTCCTGAAGAGTACATACATTTTTTGTACACATGTATATTGACCACTAATATTATCAATATGTATCTATCTAGCTATTTGTGCGTGTGTTCACATAGGGTAGCCTTCAAAATTTATTCAACTAGAATAGGAGAATCCTTATATCTTTTCAAAATCTCAATACCAGTCTAATTTCACTCAGTTCATTATGAATGCAACAGCCACACAGTGCACATGCTCATATTCCGTTAAGTTTACCTCAAGTTTCTTCTTCACCTGTCAGGAAAATGTCCAGCATTCACTGTTACACAGGAGGATAGATATTATATAACAGTTCAGCATTCTTATTGTTGGTTCCAACAAATTTTTCCTTTTTCTTGATGTTTTGCTTACTATCTGAAAATTACTTTCACCATTCCAATGCGTCCTCGGATTCTGTATCAAATATTCAACTGACTGTTATAGCACAGTCCATTTCTGATATATCCAGTTTGTATACTGCATCTTGGGATTCTCACTTTCTAACAACTATACAGTCTGTTTTATTACAATTAGTAATTAGTCCTTTCTTCTCTCTTTCCTTTACTATCTCACCTAGAAGTGCCTGCAATTTCTTTTCTATGTCTTCCATCAGTACTTTGTCATATTGTATCGTGAATCTTGCTCCCAACAATACTAAAGCCTGACATATCTTCAGCTGTTTTAAGATCACCTCGCTGCATATTCTTCTATATACAGGGTTCCTTTAAGACGTGGGGGATCATAGCTATCTACAAGTTCTTATCTTGTGTAGCTTTAAGTAACGTTTATATTTTTACCATCTGTTGTATATTGGCGGACAATTTTTTTTCCTCCGTATGAGTTCGAATCCTCGTCGTCAAGTGTTGTAGAGTAGTTTCACAGTGGAGGCTTGTATTTCACTAAGTCGGTCCTAAAATAGGTTCGACGTACAAAACATTAGGAACTTGATATAATAGGTAATGACGCAGAGAAATCTAGTGGTGTTCGCTGATACTTTTAGTATCCGACTAACGGTCGTCCGACATCGACTGACTGACCAACTCCGCGACTTGCGACTGACTCGTTCCTATTACTACTACTACTACTACTTTTTATAGGTGGGAGAGTCTATTAACTATAGAATAGGGGTGTGCCACTATAACACCATCACACCAACTCTTCATTCTGCTATCCATTCACATAAACTCTTAAGGTGGCCCGCTGTCTCCGCTTGCATCATTTGATTTCGCTTTGTCCCGTGAGTGTCAAATTTCCCAACTCCTCCATCCTCATTATGTTTTCGAGAAATTTTAGCTGACTCCCTCTATGGGTTAAATAAATCCGGTTAGAAGACGCATTCTTTTGATAGACCTCTTTCTTCTTTTGCGTAGTTACTGAAGTTATTTTTTATACATATGCAAGCGATTTATTACAAGTCAATATTCTGAATTATTCGAATAATTATTCTAAAATTTCCCTAACAGCTCAAATAAATCTTTGTATCATACCCTGTCAAATGCTTGTAGCGTACACTGTTAAATGCTTATGTTGCACCCTGTCAAATACTTATGTATTACTCTGTCAAATGCTTGTATTGTCCTTTGTCAAATGCTTGTGTCAAATCCTGTCAAAACCTTTCACATTCAAAGCCTTGTGTTGTACCCTCTCAAATGCTGCTTTCATGCCCCGTTAAATGCTTGTACCGTACCTTGTCAAATGCTTTTGTCTTACACGTCAAGTGCTTGTAACGTACCGTGTTAAAACCTTGTGTCTTAACCTGTCAAATGCTGGTGTTGTATCGTGTCAAATGTTTGTGTCAAAGACTGTCAAATCTTTATGTCATAGTCGGTCAAAACCTTGTGTCGCACCCTGTAAAAACCTTTTTTCGCACCCTGATAAATGCTTTTGTCGCACTCTGTAAAATGCTTGTGCTGTACCCTGTCAAATGCTTGTATATTACTTTGTTAAATGAATGTACCGTACACTGTCAAATGTTTGTGTAGAATCCTGTCAAATTCTTATGTCGCACTCTGTCAACACCGTGTGTCGTACTCTGTCAAATGTTTGTCTTAACCTGTCAAATGCTTGTGTCGTATCCTGTCAAAAGCTTGTGCCGTACCCTGGCAACTGCTTGTCAATAGTCAATGAAACATATATGTTTTTTTTTTGTATTTCTCGAGGTAGCGTAATACTTACAGTGTGAGAAGATGGATTTCCTTTGAATTTCCAGAAGCTATCAACAGAAGGAATGAATTCATCTTCCCGTTTGATAAAGAGGTCATCGTTGCCTCCCATGAGGGGATTCTGTTTCATAGTTTTTAGAGCCTCGCTGTAAGTACTTGCCTTGGCAGTTTTCTTGAGGAAGATAGCCAACATGAGCTGCAAAAGAACGGGTAAAAAAACAACATATAAACACGTTGATACACATTAAAAGAAATTCTGTTTTCTATAATCGCAAAACAACTTTTCCCTTTTTTCTCGTTCCTCTTTTCTTCAACTAAAATTCTTCGCTATCTGTACAAGTAGAGCTGACCTAAAAACTCATCAAATACTCCACTATATGTTACATGACGCACGTTCACTTGCAGCGAGTGGAAAAAAGAATGTGCCTACGTTGGGGAACTAAAACTACATATGAAACTTAACTAAAATATTACTTTAACATCTATGGTAATAGGTGGTCAACGTTGCCGCATCTACGTAAGAGAATGTAAAATCCTAGAGGGACAGAATAGCCACACTCGCGCTGCCCATATGTACGGATCAATCAAGTAATGACATTACTCGAAATATCTATCTATCTATCTATCTATCTATCTATCTATCTATGTATCTATTTCAGTCTATCCATATCTATGTACCTTTCTCATTCTATCCATATCTATGTATATTTCTCATTCTATCCATATATATGTATCTCAGTCTATCCATATCTATGTATCTACCTATCTCATTCTATCTATCTATCTATCTATCTATCTATCTATCCCAGTCTATCCATATCTATATATCTATCTATCTCAGTCTGTTCATATCTATATATCTATCTATCTCAGTCTTTTCATATCTATCTATATACGAATGCAACGAGAACGAAAATAATATAAATTCTCACCAGTGGAAATGCATGCGCGTCGAAACAAGAATGCATCTTTGTAGTGAGTAAGTTGTTTTGTCCATATGTAACAATTATAATAAGTATCTATCTATATATATTTATGTTTCAAAATTTCAGATAGAGTATATCTGTAAACAGACTATATGAATAAAGACAACAAGTAAACTTATCTTAGCTGGCGTATTTCGTCCTCTGAGGGACTTTATCAAGGCAAATCATAAATCCCCAGAGAATGAAACGCGTCGCTTGAGATATGCTTTCTTATCTATCTATCTATCTATCTATCTATCTATCTATCTATCTGTCTATCTATCTATCTATCTATCTATCATGAAAATAATTATGAAACTAATGGTCCGAGATTCCACAAATGTCACTCATATATATTTTATACGAAATATCCCCAAATCATTAAACCGTATTGACTCAAATGATATTTTTATTTATTTTAGTTTGGGATTAATTTATTTATTTGAGTCAATAGCTTCGTCCACAGCAAGGAAATTTGGCTCCCTGTGTCGCACCAGGAAATTGTTCTCGCCGGAGTCGATCCTTCAAATCTACAAATCAACGATTCGCCCTTGCATGGAATATATGGTCCTGTGACCCTTCTGTTTATCTCAAGGTTCTTGATAAGATCCAGAGATGGATATGCAATGTAATTAGCCCTGTTCTGGCAGCTCGTCTGCAGTCGCTCTCTCATAGACGTGCCGTCGCCTCCCTCTGTCTTTTTTACAAAAACTTTCAGGGTAACTGCTCCGATGAGCTGCTTTCGGTGGTTCCCAGACTTCATGAATTTAAGCGTTCTAATAGGCTGGCCTCTCGCTCTCCCCCTTTCAGTGTCAAAACTGTTAAATGTAGCCGTCTCTTCTACTCCAATAGCTTCATGTCTCGCACCTCTCGCCTGTGGAACTACATCACCTCTTCTTGTTTCCCTGATAGCTATAATCTCCAATTATTCAAATGTAATGTCAATCGACGTCTCCAGATGCCTTGATCTATCCCCTATTCTTCTCCCCTTTCCTATATCACTCCTATTTGCTCTCGCTCCAACTCTCTGCAACCCCTTGCGTGCTAGTGGTTTCCCGGCTTGCTTGGGGTGAAACCCTTATAAAAAAAATAATAATTGAAGTTTTTGAAATTTGTCATTGTGTATTTCTTTCAGATATTTGAAAAAAAAAATCTGGGACGCATATTTATATTTTGGTAAGATTCAATAGTGGCATTCTCAAGAATATTTGTCTAAGTAAGTAACTTTCTCTTTTGTTATATTGTAATATATAAGTATATGTATAAACTCCTGAGAAGCAGAGATATATTGAAACCGACACGCAACGCAATCTGTAACCGACTTTCTTTGCTTACCTGGACGTCTTCATCCATGTCAGCAATGGTATTCTTGATGTCTCCAGTAATAGCAACAAGTTGTTTGCTGGTGATGATGGGTTTTCCACGGTCATTCCCACTGGTGATGGCAACCATGTTCCTCTTGGCAGCACTCAAGACATTCTCCATGGTTTCAAACGCTGCATAGGAGAGAGAGACATACAGATGATGCCATAATATATTAATTTAACCTTACGTAGTTCAAACCAGAAAATAAATATGTCTTATTGTGGTGGACCTTTTAGAACGGTCATAATAATTTTACATAGATTTTTACATCACTGCATGCAAGACAATAAAGCCAATAAGATACAAGAGATGGAGAAATATGAAAAAGAAAAAGAAAAAGATTATTCAGGAGCGAGGGCAATAAAAGGAGTGGAATCGAGAAGACAGTAGATAATGATTGACATTACATTTAAATGCTTGAAGATCTAAGCTGGCTGGAAAGCATCCAGTAAGAAGAGTGTATCACAAGTGAGAAGTGCGAAAAAAGAAACTATAAGCATAGAACTAGATTAGGTTAGATCTAGCCAATTCAAATACGAATTGACGAGACCTTGCCGCCAATCTAGTACTGCGATTGAATTCATAAAGTCTAGGTAACATTGCGAAGAGTTCATCCGAACAATTACGATGGAAGTATTTAGAGAAAAGGCACAGGGAAGCTAAATTACGGCGATGGGAAAGTGCCCAATGCCGAGTCATCAGGTCAAGACCAATAATATTGCAGATTCTTTCTTTGGATTTCATCAAGTCTTTAGAAATAAAGCAGGAGTACCAGATTATATGTAGCATCAATATCCTACCTTATCGAACTGATCAGAATAACTATCGAAACAGGAGTAAATAGATGTGTCTTGAAAACAGATATCAAATTATTTCTTGCCGCAGTTAAAAACAAACTCTAGGTAATGGTAGTATCATCAGCATAGATACCAAATTGAGAACAGATGCCATCAGGAACGTCATTGATGAAAATTGAGAACACATTAGGTCCAAGGACATAACCCTAGGGGGATTTCTGTATTAGCACAAATAGATCTAGAAGAGTGGCCGTTCAGGATAACTTTCATTACGCGATTAGGTAAGGAAGACTGACTCATTTCAAAAATTCGCCCAGGAATACCATAACCATAGACGTAGCTTTTCAATTTATGGAGAAGACCAATATGTTAAAACTGTCCAACGCTTTCGAGATGTCCAAAGCAACAACCCGAGCTTCACTAGTCTCCTCTAAAGTTTGACAGACTCTTTCAGCAATAATCGTTAGTGAATCAGTAGATGATCTAGAGAAGTGAAATCAATATTGCTTATCTGAAAGAAGGCCTGCGATGTAAGATGCTTAGTTGATTGGGGCCTCGAGTAGTTTATCACAAAAGGGTAGAATGCTAACATGTCAGTAGTTAGATGGGTCAGACAGTTCTTAGACTCAGCTAACACAGAAGGATTTCCATCAAGCGGGAAGCAAGAGGCAGAGAGGTATTTATTGTAGAAGCTAGAGAGAACAGGGGCCAGTTTGGGAGCACATATCTTGAGGAATATTACAAGGATACCATCAGGTCTCACATATTTTGTGGGGATCCAGATTAGAGATGATAACAGAAACCAAGCAAGAAGTTATATACATATCACTCAGCAGAGACTCAATTCTAAGTAACCACATTATATAACAGAAACCATACAATAACAGAGTAAGTCCAGTGATATAGCTCTAGTGGACGCTTACATTTGAATAAAAAGATCTGGAAGAATGTCCGTTCGCGACGACTTTCATTTCGCGATTAGATAAGAAACACTGACCGCTACACCAAATCCTGTCAAACACTTTCGAGACGTCCAAAGCAACAGCCCGAGCTTTACGTCTAAATCTTGATAGTCTGTTTCAGCAATAATCATTAGTACATAAGTAGTGGACTTACAGAAGCAAAAGCTGTATTGATTTCCTTAAAGAATATCTTGTAATGTAAGATGCTTAACCAATTCAGTATTGATTAGGACTTTTTTATAAATTCAAATTGATATTTATATTTTTAAGAATGAGTCTGTTCGGTCTAAAATTAAATTATTTGCTAATAAATTCGTTGAATTCAGACGAGTACTCTTCACACTTCAACCTGAATAGAAGCAGTAGTACACGAAATTCCTCCTGCTTGGATCTTCCAACAAGATTATGATCCTAAGCACACTGCAAATGCTACGAAGGAATGGCTGGCTGAAAATAATGTAAATATCTTGAAATGGCCAAGTCAGTCATCAAATGTAAACCGAATCGAGAATCTGTGGTGTTAATTGAAAATTTAAATCCAATCGAGAGCTCCAATAATCATCCCGGATATAAAGACCATTTGCGAAAAAGAATGGAACAAAATACCAACCAAATTTATAAATCATTAATTGAGAACTACAAGAAGAGGTTGATTAATGTAGAAGTGAAGTATTAAATAAAGATTATATTTTTCTTTTTGGATTATAAGAATAATTTTTCACACATTAAAAGGGATAAATAGAACTGATTTCTATTAAATCAGTTTTTCCTGCTTTCTATGCATATTTACTTATTATGCATCTGTGTACAGTTAATTATATGAAAAGTATGTTTATTCA